AATAATCACATGGGTCTTACTATTTGTAAGCGAATTTTTACTTCTGCTTTCAGCAATTCGAATGACATTTCGAATCAGCAATATCTGGCCTAAACACCAAAATATGCAGAGGCAGTAAGATTTAGGCTAGGGAGGTTCTTAAATGCACCATGTTAATTGGGTAGACGTCGTATGGTTGGATTCGCTACAACTATCACATGGCATTCTAACCGTACTAGGGAACAAATTCCACCGCTCACACATATGAGCAAAGTCGATCGCTAGAAGTTTGCAAAAAAGTTCATCCTGTGGAAAAACTTAGCCAAAATAATAATATAGACTGCGTGAAGTTCAACACAATGACAGAAATGATCAATTAAATATCCAAGCATTTTCAAAAAGCAACGTAAAAGATCTCTAAAAGTTTTAACTCTAAACGAAACAATCCCAGGCAAAGATAGGAAAATATGCACGGAAGAGCTAATACACGAATTAAAAAATCACAGCTTTTTTAAAACTGATTTTGTGTTCTCTGACGACTGATTTAATATTCTTAACTTTGTTATTGCTTGTTATTTTTTGATCAGTCGCTACTACATTCTTTAGATTGTTTATTCACATTCAGATTCAGATTTGTGTAGTAAGGACAGAAGGCCTACGGCCTATGTTATTCCTTTTCTAGTATGCTTCTGTGAGTGTCCAGTCTTCTCTTGAAAGAGTCAATTGAAGGTGCGGATACCACTGCTTCAGGGAGCAGGTTCCAAGTATTTATGACTCGGTGTGAAAACCTGTATGCCAGGGGTATTTTGTTCGTTCTTGGCTTTTCTACTCGCCTGCTATGTCCTCTGAGGTGTCCCGATCTAGTGGGAAGAAAGAGAGAGAATAAGTTAGGTCCGAAGTCATTTCTCAGTATTCTGTACATCAATATTAGATCTCCCCTTAGTCTGCGATAGGACAGAGTAAAGAGGTTCAGTTTTTCAAGCCGCTCTTTATATGATAAACCCCGGAGTTCCGGAATTGCACGCGTAGCTGCCCTCTGTACCTTTTCTAGTATGTCTGAGTCACCTTTTAAACAGGGGCTTGCAGCCTGAACACAGTTCTCTAACTTAGTTCTCACTAAGGATGTGTATAATGTGGTGAACATGGTAGTATCAAGCTTAGTGAATGTCCTTTTTAAAGCCCAGAGGGTTCGAAACCCCTTAACTGCGACCTCCCGGCAATGGGCCGTCGTCTTAAGATCATTGCTCACTGTCACCCCTAGGTCCTTATGAGACCGGACTACGGGTAATGACACATCCCTTATGTTGTACGTATTAACCTTTGAATCCCCCAAGTGCATGTAGACACACTTTTCCGAGTTGATAGGCATTAGCCACTCTTTAGACCAGTTTATCATATTATTTAAGTCCGCCTGAAGAGTAAATGCGTCTGTGTCTCCAGTTATTACTCGCCAAATTTTTACATCGTCAGCGTATAATAACATTGGAGACTGTACTATACTTGTAAGATCATTAACGTACATTATAAAAAGTAAAGGACCTAGGACGGAACCTTGGGGTACTCCGCTAAGTACTGGTCTCCAGATAGAGCACTTGGAATTTATTCTTACTTTTTGCCTACGACCTACTAGGAAATCCTTAATCCATTTTAAAAGAGGTCCGGCAATACCAAGGTTTGCCAACTTCAATAGCAGTCTATTAGTTGGCACCTTGTCAACAGCCTTACTGAAGTCTATGTAGACAACATCCACTGAGTTTCCGTTGTCTAGCGCATTAATCCAGAGCTCCCTAGCTATAAGGAGGTTCGTTGTACAGGACAGACCCTTTCTAAAACCATGTTGTGCCATGTTCAGCAAGTTATTGGTTTCCATAAATGCTGTTATGGTCCGTTTGATTATCCTCTCCAGTATTTTAATTACAACACTGGTGAGGCTTACGGGTCTGTAATTTGATGAAACTTGTCGTAGACCAGTTTTATGTATGGGAGTGACGATTGCGTCCTTCCAGTCCATAGGTAACACACCTTGGTCAAGTGACATTTTGAATATCACAGTCAGTGGGGCTGCGATATATTCGGCAATATGTCTCAAGATTTTAGGGTGTAGTTCATCTGGTCCTGTTGACTTCTCCATGTTTAGGGTGCTAAGAGCCTTAAGCACATCGTTTTGGTCGAAGTCCACGGTGAGCAGCTGGTTTGTTGACTCTGTAATTGGGTCTGGTTCTTTCTCTAGAGAAGGTTCTTCAGTGAAAACTGCCCCAAAGTAGTCAGCCATAACCTCAGCTTTTTCCTGATCTTCCTCTATAATTTCAGATTCACTTCCTACTTTAATTAGGTTGAGAATCCAGTGATGAGTCCTTGTTCTGTAGTTTATGTACGAGAATATCCTCTTGGGCTGCTTGAGTGCAGATTCTGCCAGCTGTATTTCATATTTTCTTTGCGCTTCCCGAATTTTAGTTATACACACGTTTCTTATCGATCTGTAGTGTTCCATCGTACCTGCTGTGCCAAGGCGGATGGCAACATCCCAGGATTTCTTCTTTTGTCTTAGTAAGCGTCGAATATCCCGCCCTAACCAGGGATGTCCGTGCTTCTTTTTCTTTGGGACAGTTCAGGGTATATATGGTTGAGTTACCCGATCGTATAACTGTCTGAATAGAGTCCATGCCTCTTGTACTGATGCCTTTGAGTCAATTTCCCAGTTCTCAGCCGATGCTGCGGAGTTGATTGCCTGCATATCTGCCTTCCATATGTTAGGACGGGCCGGCGCAATTGTTTGAGAAGCAATTTCAGCCATGAATTTGAATAAGATGACTGCATGGTCACTTCTCCCAAGTGGTGGGAGAAAAGCCGTTTGACCAAAGTCCTCACCGTGTGTGAAGACTAAATCTAAAAGAGAGGAAGAGTTTCTTAAGTCGTATCTTGTGGGATCTCTAATGTGTTGGAATAATGCTAGTCCAATCGAGGTTTCTAACAGTTTGGAGTCGAACGACGATATAGATGACTCTACTTCTAAGTTAACCCAGTTTATATATGGTGCATTAAAGTCGCCTACTACAAGGCTTTTACCGTTGTTACACCAGGACTTAAGTTTACTGAGGAGAAAATCATCTGCTACACATTCTGGACTGCGATAAACTACAACTAATTCAATATCTTGCCTTCGGCATTTCAACTTACATCTCACCAGTTCACATGTCCCTGAAACATGTGCTACTGTCTCAGCTAATCTTATGGTTAGGGCGCTTTTCGTGTACACAATAACCCCGCCTCCCCTTCGGTTTAATCTATCAGCCCTACTGGTTATGAAACCAGTCAATTGGATTTCACTATCTAATACTTCTGACGTTAACCAAGTTTCCGAGACAGCGATAACGTCCGGTTTTTCTTTATCCACCACTGACTTCAGCTCCGCCATTTTATTTAGTAGGCTGCGAGCATTTGTGTAGCACACTTTTAAGTCTGTGGAGAGCTTTCCCTTGCCACCCAGAGTGGCTTGGGAATCGTTTTGCTCCGAACTTTTACAATCTGAAAACCCTTAAGAACGAGGTTTCTTTCACCGTTTCGGCGACGCTCGTTTATTTCCGCTTCTGCAGCCCTTCTCTTAATACGATCAGCTAGGCTGAGGTCCTCACGGACATATATTCCGGATCCAATCAGTTTACGTGAATTACTTAGAACCAGGTTTCTTTCTTCCACCGTGTTGAATGTAACCTTTAGGAGGCGGTTTTTCTGAGGACTTTCGGAATCCACCTTTTTTCCTATTCTATAAAGCTTACAAATACTAACTCCTGAAATTGTATCTGGGAGTAGTTTACTTAATGATGTCTTAATATGATTGAGATCATGTTCAAATCTTGCCTTTGGTTCAGTGTCTGAAGATTCTCTTATCTTATGAAAAATGACTGATCTCTCAGAGAGATCACGCGGTGAGGATTTTTCTTCTGATAAAGTCCCTTCCAATGTCTTGCTGACCAGCTGCGTTTTGCCTACAGCCTTTTTCTTCTTATTTTTTTCTTCTTACCGAAGTCCATTTGTCACCACTCAGAACAGTCACACCTGGACTATGTGGAACTGTGACAGTTTTATCCGGATCTTCTATTTCGACTAGAGGTGTATGACTGCCGATGTCAATATCAAGCGACACTTCATTTCTCGTTAATGTCAACGGAGATTTCACGTTCCCGTCAACCGCAGTCAGGTGTTTAATGGGTCCAGTAGCAGCACTTACTACACTGACACATTCTTCATCGTCAGTACTCCTGTTATCAGTACTTCGGCTATCGTTTCTCTTGAAGGCCAAAGCCAATAAGCCCATAGCCTCCTGTATTAGTACCTTTTTATCCGTACAGCAGAACACACAAAGCTAGTGCGAGTTAGGCTTCGAGCATCTTTTGTAAGCCGTCGGACTTAGTCGTGTACACATTTTGTGATACCACTTTTTACAGTCGTCACACTGCATTCCCTCCTCAACGGAGAACAAACAATTTGGTTGCCCACATTTGTGAGTCTTACCAACCATTGTAATTCGATTTAAAAGGTTTGAAAACAAAAAACGATAACAATGTGAACACAAGTCTTAGTCAAGGACTAAAAACAAGTACACAGGACAAAATGTAGCAAAAAATTTCAAACTTTAACCAAAGAACTCTTAGTTAAAGTAGACCAAGAATGCTTTTTAGTGAAATAAGTACCAAAAGCAAGTATAATCACAACAAGTACAAAAATCACTGTCCTTTTTCTCCGCCAAATCAAACAGGTAAGTAAGATTCTTGGTATGTCTTTTTCCTATGCAGTTCCAAACTTTTCATTACTCCGTCCTCATTCATTCCGACAAATAAGAGAGGTATTCATTGGGCAATTGAAGCTTCTAACATACAGGAATGTCTTTTCTTTTTGCACGCTTGATACTAAATAGGCCATGGCCACACAGAAGAACTACGTAATCGAACAGTGTAGGGGTTCAATTGATCCGTTATTTGTTCATGCTATTTTGGTTACATTGCGCTCGGACGCAAGGATTTGATTTACTTGTAAGTCCCGCGGGTTTTACTGATCTGAAGCTATAAGGTATGGCGTGATAAAATGATCTTTTGTATTTCAACTTTTAAGTCCTGTGTAATCTTTTCATTAGTTCAACAGAACCATTTTACCTGTTACTAGCTATTTATATCCTCATCAATTGTTACTCTAACGCTACAAAGCTAAACGTTGGTTCTGAATTAAGCTGAAAATAATGGAAATAAGTGGTTTTAAAGTGCAAAACGACTATGGTATATCAGGTATTAAAAGCAAAATATAGGCAGATAATATGTGTAACATGGATGTCAAGTGTATATGGAAAAGTAATATTTAGTAAAACGATAATGACTTGTTGTGCAAACATACACTGCTTAGTCTACAAGTTGCCTGGTAGATGAACTTCGTTCATTTCCCACGGTTCAATAGTCTAAAGACCGTTGAGCTATGTTACAAAACGATGGAGAGGTTATGTAATGGTATTTCAGATAGCGGAGTTGAAGTACCTTAAATGCTTTGAAAGAATGCCACGTAAAAGTGATGCTATCAGTTACTAGTTTTGGTATGATCCGAGTTTGGGTTTCTGACCGATTTTAAGTTCACCATAATCTTTATGATTGTGAAAACACGATAAATTAAATATTTAAGAGACAAAGTAAATAGTTAGTTAGTAACAAAATGAGTTGAAAAAATTCAAACGTTCAGAATTTGTTGGCATATCAAATTTCTGGTTCAGATCTAGTATATAGCAGAAGTAGCTCCGAGTTTTTAAACTTAGAACATAAGTATTTAGAACACCAATAAGAACTCGAACTATATACTAAATCAAGTGACTTGTGTGACGCATATGTATTCGGTGCCCGTTTGTACCAATATTTATATGTTCAAATGAATAAGTAAACTAAATCACAAGGATTATTTTGAATATCCTTTGTTTCTATTATACCTGTTTCAACCAAGTTGTCCCATGCCGGTAAGTCACCAGGATTTTGTGGTGTTAGAAATGTGAATTGCCTAAAACCACGCTTCACGACCTAAAACGAACAGATTCATCGATCACGTCCTAACTGACACCATATCAAAATCTCTACATTTGGCGAGTATAAGTTACTCGTATAATGAAGAGATGGTTTCAGGTCTTCCTCAGCTTCCATTGCAATATGTTTAGCCAGTTGACCTCTTTGTACCAGGCTTTGGATTCCTCAGTTTACCAGAATCAGTAGTGATAAAATAGCAGGAATAACGAGACGGAAACATAAAACCATTGAGTGTATAAATCAGGCTTTTTTAAAGAGAAAAAACTGAGGGACACCAGTGAGTGAAATTGCAGATTCCTACATCAGTTTATTTCTTTTTCAGCTCAGTACGGTGACAGGAATACTGTTATCTGTCGGGCAATTGCTGCTTTATATTGACTAAATGATAAATAAATCCTAGTTTACAGGTCATCACTGTTCATTCAATGAATTTTGATTGTTCAAAGTGAGTATATTCAATTGGCTAGGTATCCTACATAAAGTGTAAAACATTAGCAACAGTAGAAATGTGCACTTCTAGACTTCTAGAGTAGGTGCTAATTTCTCTAAACTATCTGGAGCCGTCTAGTTTTATTTAACTCAATTGGTGACTAAGTAGTTTATTTGAATTGGTTGTTTAGATCTCTCCATAAATGTTTACGACCTCAATTGTTTAGAATTTTTTTTGGCATATGTGCATTCTGTGAAGATTGCCTCATAATTACCACAAGCATTTTTTATGTAATGATGGATAGTAACTAACAGTGGAATTCAGGACACGCGTTTTATCCTATTTGAAACTCGCCATTTGGATGTACCAGCATCTCAGAGTTCACTTGCAGTCCTAAATATCAGTTGCGAAATTCAAGCAACCGACACAAACAAGTTAGACTTCATCCCATTACATGAGTCAATGGCTATCTGGACTCAGTAGCTGAGTGGATACCGCAGTGACATTTGGAGCGACAGGTACTGGGTTCGAGTCCCGTGGTAAACAACTTCGGGATGCAGGTACGTCCAGGTGACGAGTCCGTAATAGGATGAAACGCGCGTCCTGACTTCCACTACTAGCCACCACCCATCTCTGTCTAGAGTGATGACTAGGTAGTTATCAGGTTTACTCTTCAACTGTTGTTTCTACTATGGATAGGGATTTTTTTATTTGTAATGAGGGACATTCGAAGATTATTAGATTAATAGGTACAGGGCTAATCGACAGATGATACACAATAGTACAACGTGGCAAAGTGATAACTTCACGATTCAGAACCATTGGCTTAAGTTCCCAATGAACTGACACCAGAAGACAGAACAGATACTCAGTGTAGTAGGTTTTTTCCGATGAAGTAACATGTTTATGCACAAAATCTTAGTAAAAAGATGATTGTGATTATGTATCACATAGTTAGAGGATATCGACTTTGTAGATCTGTTCATCTGCAATAAATTAAGACCTAACTAATGGGACTAACTTTTGTCTCGACATGTGTAGTCGGAATAAACCATTTGGTTACAGTCACTTAATAAACTTGCCGGCTATTTTGTTGCACAGTTACGAAGAAGTAACAAGTACCGTGAGCATACCACAAATGTAGTTTTATATTTAAGTGAAACAAACTGATACTAATATATATGTAATTTCTGTTTATACACTTATTAATTGTAGTCCGGAGAATGTTAAAAATGAACTTTACCTAAAGCTTCTATTATTGTAAAAGGTCAAGCGTTTTATACTGAGTGTTCATTAGTGCTAAGTGGCTGTGGTGTCCAAGACGGCTGAGCCTTTTGGAAGAACTTTGAAGGTATTTGCTATAACTCAAAAAACCATTTACGTATCTTTGTGCTTTGATGTAGACTTCATTCTTTGTTCTGAACTTTCAGCCATTGAATTTCAAACTCAAACCTTTGTAGGCTTAAGCGGTTTGGGTGCCCAGGCAGTATTTCAGCCCTCATACAAATCTAATGACAAAGTGTGGCGCATATATATTTCGTGCTTCCTTGTATCAATATTTGTGTGTTTAAATAAAATAAATAGTCAGTTAGTATCACTAGTCACCATCTATAAATTAAATACATTACACACGGACCCATACGTAGCTACTTAGTGACAAAACACTCAGCTTTTATAACTGTTCATTCGTAATGTTTAAAAATGTAATCTTATTTTATAAATTTCTGTATTGTTTTTTATTGGTTTAAATAATAGTTGCATACTTACATTCTATCTCTATTTGCTTCAACAGGTTTTATTTACACGTTCTGCATGATTCAGAAAATGAGTTATTTATTCTCCTTATTTTTGTCTGGTTGGATATAATTTCCTGTTTTCCAATGTATTAGCTACTCATTCTCATGCCTACTCCACATTTATCAAGAGCAACATCAGGACCGTCTTCTGGCTATGCCGTAGGTGATGAGATTTGTGATACTTCATGTCCAATTGATTGGGATACAAATGTAGTAAATTTTATATCAACTTGCTTGCATCCTGGTCTAGTTCGACGAACTTCATCTAGTGCAACATATGGCTTTGATAAACCGAATCATTTTAGACGTCAGCATCGCCGAAATCTATCTACAGCTACAACAGTTGGATTCGGTCGTTATCCTGATAATCAAATTACAAGTGGTCGAGTTCCATATGCTAATGTTTTCAATCATCCAAATGATTATCAAGCCCCTCCACCATATTATTCTAAACGTATTTTAGGCCATGCTCGCAATATCAGCGATCCTACATCTGGTTGGGATTTCCGTATTGTCACAAAACCTCTTATTCTTGACCAGTTAACTGAAAGACCATCTTATAATTGGGATGGTTCTGCCGAACAAAATCTTGTGGTGTCAGGTGAATATAAGATTCCGGATACTTCATTCATTCCTGAAAATAAACCCGAAGCTTATCCTTGTCTAACACCTCCACGTTCATCTAATGATATTACATTAGAAAATTCGTTTATATGTGCGCGTGATGCAGAAACTCATGAGACAACTACAACTGCAAAAGATGATACTTCTTGTTTATGCCCTTGTCTACAAACCTGTGCTAATCCACGTGTTGTATTAATCGGATTATGTTTAACTATGTTTATGCAAACTATGGTTGTATCTGGTCTGATGAGTAGTATGTTTACTACATTGGAAAGAAGATTTAATTTAACTAGTCGACAAATTGGCTCTATGATAAGTTGTTATGAAGTAGCCGGTGTCATAACCACAGTGATTGTTAGCTTTATTAGTGGTCAGAAACATAATCGACTACGTGTTATTGGTTTGGCGACATTGATCCTGGCTCTTGGATTTGGATTATTTGCATTGCCTCACTTTTTAGCTGGTCCCTACAGACCAAACTTACCAACTACTCCTGATGGTAATACTGCTACTAGTATTAGTACTGAAGATATCATCCATTCCTCTCTGTCGTCTTTTCCTCTTAATCAAGACTTAGAAAATTCAATTCAGTTGGATGGACCACTATGTGTCGATCAATCACGCAATACCTTTCCTAAGAATGTTATTTCCAATTCACTTAATAATCAAACTAGTGTCGGTGACACAATTATTCGTGCTTCCCCACTCACTGCTGCTGATAATTTTAATAGTAATGATATTGATGAATCATCAAGCACAGGATTTATGGGAAGTAGTGACATTGTTCAGTCTGTTCTCTTTCCAACTTTTTGTTTTGCAATGCTGCTAGCCGGGATCGGGGCTAGTCCTTTGTATGTCTTAGCTCCAACTTACTTATGGGATAACTTAACAGATAGACAATATCCAATATATGCAGGTATGCAATGTATTCTTTTATTTTGTATCAATTTACATATTTATGTGAAAAATCTATGATTTATATATAAATCTAGATTTCACTCAGTTTGCGCGCAGTATTGGTAAATAATTCCTATAATTATTAGGTCGTAGTTTCAAACTCCATTTTGGATACCTTGGTTTGAAAACCAGTTGTCATCACTAGTTTGTCACATGAAAAGTATGTCGTGTAATAGACTTCACGAATATGTACTTTGTTACTAAGTTACATTACTTTTCTGTTAGCTGACAAGGATAAAATCTCATTTCATCAAAACTGGTTTTATATCATTTTATTTGTTGATCATTCCCCGAATTAGGTGCATACTCATCAGAGTTGACTTCCAGTATTTAATATTAATCATTGTAACAAATATCACAGTAAAGGATAAACATCTTTCCAATACAGATCGATCGTTCTCTAGAATACGATCCAGTATTTGAGATAGCGAGGCTGATTTTATATCAAGTTCGAAATTGCTGACTTATCAGGTATAGCGTTGTCAAAATGGTCCGCAAAATGAATTTGTTCTCTGCTTTATAGTTTCTTTTAGTTCTTCATAATATATTGGAGTATAACTAAACATTTTCAGACCAGGTATATATATGTATACAATAAACAGTACGTTATACTGTTGTTACAATGAATATACATGCTTACTTCGACAATGCTTGAAAACACTTTATATTTACACTGCTATCTGTACACATATATCATCATACACACTAGTAAAATATGCCAACCTAGATCAGATTCATTCATTAACATACCACTTTGATAAATACATAGTCGTGGTTGTTGTCATTTTTCAACTCGTGTTAACCATAAAAATATTCTACCAATTTATGATAATGATACTGATAATACTACTACTAATAATAATAAGTAAAAATATAGATTTCCATTTATTATTTTTGTAATTTTATTCAAAGGAGAATGACAGTTAGCTAGATCTTTAATAATAATTCATCTTTGTATATGTAAATTCTTTCTGGAGTTTAAACAGATATATATCACTTGTATATTCAATTAACCATAAAGTCCAATCAACTAATTACTTGCTTGATAATGACGGATAACTAGCGTTTAATTTTGTAAAGTAATGGTAAATAAAAGTCAAATAGAGGTGGAAATTATCACCTAAAAGATTCTAAATCTGACATTAATGTGATTTTCATAAGATTTGGCGCGAACTCATGTATACAAACCGAGCAATGTAGGGCATCACTCTTACCTCTTACCAATATACTAAAAGGAATGTATGAAAACGTGGGAAGAACTAATTTTACACTAGTTAAAATTCCTTAGATAAATTTCACTGTTAGGAAGAAGATTAGAAATAGTCAGCCTCAGTCAGTCAGTCAGCTACAACGTAGGACCAGGCACATATGTGCATCGGTCCAGGTTGCCATACCTCATTAGCACAGCAAGATGAACAGCGGATTCATAGGAGTGGTTAGGTCAAAGGTTGCAATAAGGATGTAGTATAGGAAGAAAGAATTAGTTCGTCGACCAGCATTCTCTAACCCACTCTGTCCTGGGCCTTCTTTTCTAGTTCCATTCAATTCTTGTTCATTTTTCTCATGTCTATCTCCATTTCCCAGCGTAATGTGTTCTTTGGTCTTCCTCTTTTCCTTAACTGCTTGGGCTGAAATTATAGAGATCATGTAACTGTGACTAACTTGAAATACTTGAATATAATTTAAAATGAAAGTCATATGATTAAGTGGTGGAAACTTTCTGAATAAACATTATATGAATAATTTTCACTTTGATTACATTATCTGTCATTTGTTCTTTTGTATTACTATGCTTTTTATGTTGATTCATTTGCTTACCAAGTTTTCGCTTAAACTAAACAAAATGGGATGATGAAATATGTAAGATTTAGCATTATAAGATGAATAAAATCATATTCAAATGAATCAAATTCCATTATATCATTTAGAATCATTTGAAATTCTCACCTACATCAAATCTCGAATAATTGACCTCCTATTCCTACATTGATTTAAGTAATCTAATCAATCATAACAACAATAAAAATAGTGATTAAGTAGAAACTAAATCTTTATTACAGAATGATGTTTTGTTTATGTGTTAATGTTTCATGTCAAAATGTATCTACCATTGCTAGAAAAACTATGAAGGTTCATAGTCAAGTTTTTTGCATTCACCAACATTATGTGTGAATTGTACATCTTGTCCATGGCTATTTGAACGAAGATATTTACTTTCTAATAACATTGAATAATAGTTTCAGTGATTTATTTTGAACTCTATCGAAATTATTTTAAATAGAATTTCATTTGTATTTCTATGTATTCCTTCTAGTTCTAAGAATTCATATTATTTTCGATACTTAATGTATAATAAATGGTCCACCAGGATGCTTGATACATGTGTGGTCGCGCCACAGGATTGAGCTGTACTATTCAGATTGTGTAGCGTTAAAGCCTATACGGTGTCTGGTTCCCCTGCTAAACGGGGTTGAGCAACTGTACTGTTTGGGTTGTCATGTGAAAGTCCGGATAGTGTCTCGTTCTCCTGAAAACCAATGTAAAATTACCCTGGCCCACAAGCGTATATTATGTAACTGTGAATGTATAATGAATGTTTAAAGATCCCCGTCATATTAAAAGACTAGTATTTTAGTACTAGTCTTTTAGTATAATAAATGGTTTCAGTAATTTCTATATTGTCGTCTATTAAACTTATACAATCGTATTTATAGTTATTTAACATATAAACATTAGTGTATTGTTGTAAAATAGATAGGTGTCGTATTGATACCAATATGTTTGAAGGTCTTTACTAACATCTTAACACAGTACTCGTGATTTTGAGTCTTCTAGACTAATGGTCATAATGCTGAGAATTCTATGTTGTACTAAATATATAGTATTAAATAAAGCCATTAAAAATCACAATGATAATAATTTGGGCAGTGGAGTTCAATTTTCACTTAAGAGTTAGATAATCATCACATTAGTCACTACTCAGTGATTAATCAGTTATAAATATCTCAGTCCTACAAGCGGTCATTTGCTACCTAAGTAGCTCAAGGGTAATACCTTAGACTGTGAAGATGGGCGACACCGGATCGAATCCACCAGGGAACATCCGTTCCCTCAAAATTTACAGGTACATCTTAATGACGAGTGCTAAATAGCACAAAACTTAGGTCCATGATATCCTGTCGACTACCTTCAACCATCACCACTTCTCGACACAGTACATGTGATGTCAATTGACCTAGACTAGTGGTCACATTGCAGTTTGGTTAATAGAGTTCGATCTGCACTAAGAAGAACTTCAAACATATGACATTGGTCACTACCCATTGATCAATCAATTGTGCATACAATGATTTGTTTATTTAACAGATTTTTTTCATCTGTCCATACCAAGATAGATTGTATGTGTACATAATTAGAAATGGTTTATCATAATCTTCTATGTTGAGTTGCAGGTATACACTGTTAAAGTGACTTGAACATGAAACAAAATAATCTTTCAATGCTCTCTAGATTTTAATCAACATCAATTCGTATTGAGAACATTATGTTTATGAAAATGAACTGCTACTATTCTTGTCCTTAGTGAATTCTTAGTTCTTATTTAATATTCAATTAAAATGGAATTCTTCGGTGGAGTTTTGTTCTCTGAGCTGGATGGCTTGGTCGTGGAGCTTTTATCGTTCTTCTAAACTGAAGTTTGTGCTGATGATGTCGTCCAGAAGAACGATAAAAGCTCCACGACCAAACCATCCAGCTCAGAGAACAAAACTCCACCAAAATCATCCACCTGAGCTACACATCTCTCTACCATCTCAAAATGGAATTCTTTGCATTTATCAATCTTAAAAAAAACTATAATTATTATCCATCATACATCAACGAAACAATCCATATGCAAATTACACTTACAATAATGATAGTTTCTTTTCTTAAATTGATATAATTAATACTATTCATGTATTGACAATTATATTTCATCTTATTAACACATGTGATGTTTCAACATTTTCTTTCGATTCTTGTCAGTTGTTATGTGTATAATTGAGTTTATTGAAATGGTTTACTCATTTATTATTATTTTTTAATAGTTGTTTAGGGGGGGGGTTGCATGAGAAACTAGATAGTATTAGAATTTGAAACATTTTCTTTCACTTGTTGTTATAATCTCTTTCTTACGGTTATGACCCAGCTATTCCTATTGCTTAGTATTCTCGGACACCGATTCACTCGGCAAGTCCCCAAATCAGAACACGGTTGAACAGGAACAAGATTATATTCCAAATAATAAGGTTAGATGGAAGTAAGAAGCAAGTCAGTAGTGCAATAGGGAAAACGCTAGTATATTTATAGTTTTTCACATGAAAAGATTTCTAGAGTGTTCACTTGTCTAGAAACTTATCTCATAGATAATAGTACAAATTCATGTAATTTTCTTCGATTTATATTTTGTGTTAGAGAATGAATGCTAATCATCGGTGGATAATGCCAAATTTGGTAAGGCATCACAGTTTATACCAAAAAGTAGCATTAATAATAATTAGTAGTTAGAAATTGAGCTTTTTATGATCATCTAGCTACCGCTTATCTATGAAATATTAGTATCAAATTTGTTTATTAGTCTTGGGATTGTTTTTTTTTAAAATCTCAGTTAATTGTTTGTCATATTCATTTTCGTAGAATGAAAAATTATCACTATGGGGATTTGTGTAGATTGTAGTATTTTCACGGTTGAATTCACGAACCGATCTAAGATAGACCACCTTTGAAAACTTGGAAGCACCGAACAGGTGTTTCGTCTTAGTATGGGACTCCTCAGCAGTGCGCATTCACGGTCTTCCACGCAGGACTCGAAACCAGAACCATCGGTTTCGTGCGTGAATACCTAACCTCTAGACCACTGAGCAGGCATCCAACGGTATTAATGTCTAACTTCAATCGATACATGATCTTACACAAGTC